GCAAGAACATATACAAGAACAACTTGATGGGTTTCCTGGAGCATCCTGTACTAGATATGGATGGGGCAAACTAAAGAACCATATGATATAATCGTCCATATAGCTCCAGTCCTCTAGTGCTAAGGTACTCCGGGCCTTATCTGGCACAAGATGATTAACATAATCACCAAACAAAGTATCCATATTCCTCCGTTTCACCGGGGGAGGAGAAGACACAACATGATCCCATAGAATATACTGCATATACCTGAACTAACACATGACGCGCTCAGGCAGATGAGCAATATCTTACGCGACCCGTAGGTATGGAAGTGTATATTCTTAAACATCAACTGATCACTATACACCTGGAATGGCTCTATCGCCGTGTTCCCTCGGAGTGGGTCGAATGCATCGGGATGCATCCTTTCTTTAGTATAACTCGAGGCAAGTGACCAACCTGAGATGCAGGGGAAGTTTTGTAGGATCCAGACCTAAAATTACAATAATTATTAGTTAGTAACGGAATCACGACAATTAACAAAATGACACATAAACAATATAAGACCAATATATTTTACCGTCAGGAGTATGATGCTCCCGATCATTTGCTTCGTCTTCCACTTACAACCTTCAGAAAACTTGTGGTATAAGTACACCAAAAAAGTAGCCCCAAATCCCACTCATGTATCTGCTCAAAATCGTCAAAGTATCCTAGGTACATGACATCAGTGTAAGTGGAACTAGTGTCCATAAAAATGTATGTGTCAATCAGATACATAAGGTATGCTCTCATATCACACCTCTAGTGATGGGTAACCTGCTCGGGATCACCATCAACATGTCGTGCACGTTGTAGCTCGACAGTGAACACCATCTTCAAATAACTAAATCTGACATGAGCACCCCGAGTGAAGTCCATCTCAGTTATAACACTCTCAAGGGTGATTTTGAATATCTTTACCAACAACTCCAATGCCTCATATTTGTCGCACCTCTCGTGGTCTAAAAACCTCCCTTTTATCAGGAAATACAACAGGCATGCGATGTCGTCCAGGGTGATCGTCGTCTCACTATATGGTATATGGAACGATGACGTCTCATGGTGTCACCTCTCAACAAAATTGTTAATCATACCATGATTAACGATAGTATATTCACAAAGAGTCAGGTCTTTCAACCCTGAAAGCACCAAGATCTCATCAAACCATGACTCAGGGGGAGCTACGAGTTTAGTGATCTTTCACACATGATTAATGATTTTTAAAGGATCACGTTCCTGCATACATGGTTTAACAAAATTCATTGAACTAAAATTAATAATAAAATAAATTCAACAACAATTAATAGAATAAACAATTCAAAATCCATTCTTCTCTGTCTCAGATATGTCTAATAATATGGTCCAATAAAAAGGCATCAGTGATAAATCAGAAGGACCTCCTCCAAAACCCTAAGGTGTCGTAGGTGTCACCTCAACTGCCTGGGCCTCAGGTATCGGTTGTGCATCCTTGGGTTGTGGCTGGGATGCATCTGGTGTCGGTTGTGTTGCCTTAGGTGTAAATTGTGCATCATTTGGTGTCGACTGGGAACCATATACCTCTCCTGCCTCAAATACCATCGATGAGGAAGTGTGTCTACGAGAGGACGAAGGCGAGGAGGGATGAGCTGGATAAACTCACCTGTTGCAGGAGAAAGACAATGAAGTAGGCGTAGAAACATGGACATTAGAGGTTGTAGACGTATCTGACACAACCTGTCCAGAGGCAGAAGGAGCCTGGGATGCTTGACTCATTTCCCTTTGCACATAAGCATGACGTGCAAGTCTGTCGTGCCTTAACCTAGATGGTCTCTTGTCCATTACTCATGTAGAAGAACGAAATAAATGTTAACAACAAGACTCAGGTTCAAAAAAATGAAAAAATGCAAACTGGTTAAAATCAGATATGCATTTCTGATTTTTAATGTAAACATTGAAGAAAACCAAAAATGCATCTCTGGTATGACCTTCAACATTCCAGCTTCGTCAATGACGAAGCTCAACCCCAATGACCTCAAAAAACGGCCATTGATCGTAAAAAAGACATACCTAACACGTTTCTTATGACTCCTAACATTACAAATACTAAAAAAACTTAAATTTTCTACCCTGAAGCACAAGTTGTAGGTGAAATTACATAAACTCCAAAATCTCAAAAAGAACTTACAAATGATGATTTTTCTTTCTTGAATTTGCTTGAACACTGAAGTGTAAGTGATGCTTGACGATTCCTTATGAGCTTTTCGCAAAATGGATTGATTTTGGTACAGTGGAGTTTGAGAGAGTGGTTTTTGTGTGTTTAGTGTTTTTCTTTTCAAACTGTTTCTGAAAATAAGGAAAGGGAAGAGGCAACACACATTTAAGTGTCAACACGAACCAGAAATACAACTACGGTCTCCACCGTAAATACATTTCTGGTTCGTATCTGTGTGTTAGCTTGGATTTCTCAATCTTAACAATCGTATGTATTTGAGATGCTTCCGAAAATACAATTATGATTCTAAATGTATTTGTATTTCCAGTTAATTTTCAACTATTTCATAGGGTCTCGTCCACCAAAATCTAAGTATGAGTACTTACTAGAAATATATTTCTAATTTTCAAAAGATATTTTTATATTTTCACATAATGCACTAAAAACCATATAATGGATTAAAAAGTTCCCTTGTTCTAATTACTCCTAATTGTATGTCTAACCGAAGTAACATTCATTATTTATTACATTGTTTCAAAACCCATATCAAACTAGTCGATCATCAAATTGGTTGGATTGGAAACCGATGAGGTGGACAGGTTCTTTTAAGCATACAATTGAAATTGCAAATAAAAGGGTGAAAAATGTGACCGGACTAAGAGCATGTTTCTATTGGTTTTTATAAATGATTTTTATAGTGTTATATAATATAAAAAAATTATAAAGAATTTTTTTATAAAATAATTATTTTTAAAATGTTATTTTAAGTATTTCATCATCTTATTAAAATATTTTTTGGATATCAAAATTTAAATAAAAAAAATCAGTTAATTTTGAAACGATTTCAAATAAATTTTTATAAAAATTATTTTTAAAATATAACTTTTTAAAAAAATTACGATTTCAATTATATTTTAATCTTCAATAATATTGTTTATGTTATAGAATGGTCAAAATTTATCTTTTAATTTAAAATAACAAATATGAAAAACTTATAATATTTTAAAAAATCAATTTTATAAAATCAATTTTTAAAATTACAAAAAAAATAATCATTTTTTTAAAGTTGAAACAGAGACACCCTAATACTAATCAATTCAAAGAACCGGAGAAAACCAATGTGATCTTAAGAGACTTATTGCTTGAAAAATTAAATAAATAGAAATATAACCGAATTCCACGACATGTTTCCCTGACAGTATTTTGAAATAAGCTAAAATAAATATTTAAATCATATATAATATGCAACTGTCATATTTTTTAAACCCACAATTTATCTTTAACCGATACTATAACTATTTCTAATTTAGATTTGTAACTTGTACTATAATAGAATTTAAATTAGTATGCTATAACATTCAATATTTAAAAAATAAATGGTTAAAACTCTTTTGTTTTCGAGAATTGTAAATTAAAAGATTAATTTAGTACTATGATAAACTTTCTATTCTTTTAATATAGACTGAGTTACGGGTCAACTAATATTTACTAATATTTAATTGGTCAGACGAGTGATCCCGGGTTGTCCGGAATTTAAAACAAATGCTATATACACAATCATTCTAAGAACTTTATTATTCCTACACCACTTTTTTACTCTAATATTAACAAATAATATACACACGATCCTAAGAACTTTATTATTCATGAACAGTATATAAACGTTACTAATAAGAGTACATGTGAACGTTGTTCGTGCTCATCGTAATAACAATCAATTTTAATAGTAAAATAAAGTTGATTAATAAAATATAAAATATTGATTAATAAAATAATAAAATTGATTAATAAATATTTAAATATTAAAAATAATTTTTAATAATAAAACAAAATTGATTAATAAAATATAAAAAGATCAATAAAGTTATGAAATTGATTAATAGATTTTTAGTTATAAAATCAGTTAATGAAATTGAAAATATTGGTTAACGAAGTCGATTAACTGCATAATTTTGTTTCCGTACTCCTTCAATTTAAAAAAAAATTTATTTTATTTATTTAAAAAAAATGTGAACAGTGAAATACGGTGTAGGTATATATAATTGAAATAGGAATAGCATTTCTCTAATTACAATATTAATTTAGTGATATTAAATTCATAATCTTATAACGTGCAACAAATTAACTTGATACATCAAGAATACCACTCATTCTCAACACCCAACAGAAACAAATTAACCTTGCAGGTAAATGTTAACTACTAATATAAACAAGGTTTGTTGCAATAAATACGGGAAATATAATTTATTTATCATTTTCCTATTCAAATTCATCCATGATAATATCTAACCTATGGAATTTATTGCTGCTTTAAGAAAAAAATAAGCACAATTCACAAAAACAAACTTTGACGGTAGTGCTAAAGCTTTCATGACAAATTCTCCAAGAAGCTTCTCCTATCGAACTTTCCATATCATTGTCACATGAAAGCCCATAAATGTTTCCCAATAGTACACATCCAAGTAGGTAATATAAAATCAAGATTTCAAGCCAAATAAATATGAAATGAAATGCTAGAGCAATATTGTCACTGAAGCACGGACATCAGACATGACACTTGTGTCAGTGTGACACGGACGCTAACACCTATTTTCATAAGTGTCGGTGCTACAAAGTATTGTCAAGAGAGTATATATACTAAAACAACAATTTTACATCAATTTAACAAAAATTTGCATAAACACAGGAAATGTCTATAAAACAATTTGCGGGGAAAAAATATACATTGACTTATTTCAGTTTCAATCAATGGGAAAAGAAAAGATACATTCATACAGATCAATGAGGCTAAAAGGCTTTCTTCGGAGGCGTCATGTTAAAAAGAAGGAAAACAACCGCTTTGATGATACTAACCTTGAACAGAGATAACGTGAGTACATACACCAACAGACCAGTTTGAAGACTGGGAAAATTGGTATCAAAACTGCTTGTTCCCCGATTACCAAAATACTGGATAACCTTCAACAGAGAATACTGGTTAGCAAGAGAAGCAGAGAAGAGAAGCATTGCTAAAGAAGATAGAACGGTGTATAATCTCAAGAAACTTGACCGGCTTCGTCTTCTACCTAATTCCGCGATGATTAATAGAATAACACTAGCAATAAGAGAAGAAATGGCAACTGTGTTTGTTGAACCATCTGTTTTTCCTCTTAAAACTGCAAATAGAACTCCTATTAACAAAAACAAAGCCTCAATGATAAACAACACAGAGAGGCGTTTCTTCCCCTTTGCAACAAGTTGATACCTTGAATCAACTACCATACGGTAGGAATAATCGGATCCATCGGTTCCAGAAGGCCTTCCCAACGTTGAATTTCTTTGATGCATTTTCTTCTTTGAGTTCCAACTTCGGATCGGAGACTTGGTGCAATTTAATGGCAAATTGGCGATGTCAACGTACAAAGGGTGAAAGAGTTAGATAAATAAGAAAAGATCTTAAATTTTAAATTTCAACTTTCACGTTATCTTTGTTAGTGTTGTTAGAAATTAAAAGAAACCCTAACAGATCAAAAAAAAAAAGGGTAAAAATAAAGAAGAGGTGAAACCAACCGCACTAACCAATTACTCCGATCAGAGAATGCGTGAATACAAAAGAGGGGTCTCGCGGCAGGGGTGTGCGCTGTCCGGAGATGGCTGCGATGCGGGAGTGAAAGGGTTTTTTTATTTTTCTCTAAGATTTTTTGTCTCTTTTATTTTTTTTAAGAAGGGCTGATGATATACTATTAATGAAGAAAAGATGTTACAAACAAAAGACCCCAACTAATCTTTTAAAAATTAACCGGTCATCAGTTCATTGATTCATTGGTTGGATTATTGGATGACTACTTCAAAAGAATAATTAAATTCGATTAAATCAGATAATTTATTGAATAATTTTATTTCTATAATAAAATTATATATTTATAAAATCAATTAAATTGGATTATTCGATCTATAAAAAAAAATTACAATGTCTACAAAATTTTGAAATTTTAAAATATCATAATTTCACATATTCATTCTGTAAATTTAAATTCTAAATATAATTATCTTCACACAATAAAATAATAGAAAATATAAATCTAAATAAATTTTGAACCAAGTCCAATTGCAAACAAGAAAAAGTTGTTTCAAATCAATTTTGAATAAAGTTTTATTTATTTTTTTTGCTTAAATGCACTTTGGTCACTCTATTTTCAAGTTTTTTAAGTTTTAGTACCCCATTTTAAAAGTCAACTTTTTGGTCCCTAAACTTTATCTCACTCGGGATTTCATTGGTCCCCTTCTAATTTTGCATATGTGACGCCATAATTAATGACAAGTCACTGTAACTCCACTATAGATGAACACACATTATAGGGAGTTAATATAGTAGTGTCATGTCATTAATAAGAACGTCACGCCACGTATGCAAAATTATAGGAGGGTCAAGTTTAGGGACCAGAAAAATTGGCTTTTAAAATGGGGAGACTAAAACTTAAAAAACTTGAAAATATGGGGACCAAAAATGCATTTAAGCTTTTTTTTTAAATTATCAAAACGACGTCGTTTTGTCCGAAAAAAATATGCATTTAACCATAAGATTTCCACCAGTTCAATAGCACAACCGTCCAACAATCAGACCAAATCAATGATCCTTCTAATTCTCAGTTCGATTGGTCTGACTGGTTAGTTCAGTCCTATTTTTAAAACACTGAAACTAAGTTAGCCCCATCAAAAATTTGAGAACCTAAAGAAAGATATATATAACATATTATTTACAAAATCTCTTCCAATCTCAATATAGATGGAGTAAAAAATATCATGGAATTTACGCTAAGACCTGTATTTGCAAAATAATTCGCACAAGAATTTCCTTCCATATATATATATATATATATATGTGTGTGTGTGTGTGTGTGTGTGTGTGTGTGTGTGTGTGTGTGTGTGTGTGTGTGTGTGTGTGTGTGTGTGTGTGTGTGTGTGTGTGTGTGTGTGTGTGTGTGTGTGTGTGTGTGTGATGAGTAAGTTAGATACGTTAGAGGGACAAATACTCTCAAGCCACATGTTCCTTAAAATATGAGAAATCAAACTTGGGTTGGAGAAAGCTTTGACAACCACTAAATAAGTTGTTTCAAACCAAAACTTTTGCCAACCACGAATTGTCACAATATCGATCGCCTTGAGAACTGCAGAGAATTATGCATAAATCAAAGATTCGATCAATAATTTGTATGCATAAGCAAGCAAAAATTCTCCTTGGTTGTTCCTAAAAACGCCACCACAATCATTCACTTTTGTAGTAGGATAAAATGCTTCGTCACAATTGTACTTATACCAACCATGATTCGGAGGCGCCTATAGAACTTCTATAATGTTGGGATCATGAGGAGGATGAATTATGACATCAAAAGCCTTGATCAAAGCAAAATCAACAATCGAGATGGGAGAATGATTTTGAGCATTGTTATCGGATAACATAGTCTGATTCTGAATCATTAAGATTGACTTTCTTTTGTTGAGCTTCAATAATCATGCTTCAATTTATTTCTAGAAATACCAAAATTGATTGACAATAAAAATGATTGTTGCTTTTAACACAAGCCCAGATTTGTTTGACCTGCTAGAATTGCAAATGTTGAACTAGCTCTCCAGGAAATGGGATTGGAATGAATCTCAACCTTCCTCCAAAGCCAATTTCAAAGATACAATGCATAATGGCACTGAGAAAATAGATGTTATGCACTCTCTGCAGCAGAATTGCACAAACAACAGATAGAGGCCAAAGAATTTCCTCTCGATCTAACCAATGACTCAGTTGGAATTTAATTGAGCAAGCCTCCAAACTATAATAGACTTACTAGGAGGAATGTCACAACTCCATAGGTGTTTGGCCCATGGGTACTCCGTGAAATGCCCCATCTTTAAAAGAGTAGGAATTCTAGAGAGTGGGAAGCCCTGAAACATTATGCTTCCAAACCATTCTTTATTTAAGGTTGAATTGAAAGAATGGAACATTGGGCAGCCTGTTGGCTAAAGAAGGGAACCAAGTATTCCAATAATCCGATAAAATCCAATTACCATCATATATGAAATCATAAACAAATTTTTTGACATTAATACCTTTGGAAGAGAGGAAATCCAAAGAAGTAAGATGAGAGGGAGATATTTCGCACCAAGAATCGGACCGGAATCTAATATCCTTTCCATTACCGATATACCAATCAGAATGGTTATTTAGGACTGAAAATTCAGATCTGATCCTTTTCTAAATCAATGAGAAGATGTGATATTTGATGATTCCATTTCTTGTGATGACTCTACTGTTAAGAAGGATCGTCCAAGCTTATGTGTTAGTCCTCAAATTCCACATAAGCTTGATATTTGTTGCCTCATTCAATCTCACCAAAGAACCAATACCAAGACTACCAGATAAGATAAAGTTCCTACAGGCCTGATCAAATTTCCTAGGCAAAGCCATCGAACATGAGTATATGTTGATAATCCAAGATATCATACTTTGAATTAACATGCATCCGACCAAGATATATCTCTTTAAATATCCTTATTGAATCAATTCTCAGTCTCCTCTTGAAATGGAAACAATTATCATTGTCGTGTCCTTTTAAACGTTAGTATGTAAACCAAACACTTTTAGACCCATATGGCCCTTTGTATTGGCTAGTTTATCTAATAACTTTCTATGCTTTATCTCTTTTAGCAGGTGGCTTCTCTGGTTGGTCAAATTGATAGTTGTGAAGTTGCATGGCCACATATTTTTGGCTGGTAGTTTGATTTGTTTATTTGTTGATCTTTTTGTTATTTTGGAGAATTATTTTGGTCAATATCCTTCTCCTTGGCGTTCGTGCTCCTTTAGTCAGCATTACTTTATTTTCCTTTTTCTAACATTTTGTGTTTCATGATTTCTTGCATGTTGGCAGTGTAAGAACAAGAAGTGTTTCTACACCTGGCCTTAAGATTTTGATGATAACTTTACATATTATCTTAGAGAACAATTGTATACACTAATGGTTTCATTCTAGTGTGTAATTACTGTTATAATGTTTTGACTTTAGTATCAATGCGCGTGACATCATCGGGTTATGAACATACACTAATGGAAGAAAACATGTGGTTACGTCTTACAGTTGAAGTCAAGATTCTGGGATCCATCTTCTGCAACGTGTCTAAGGAATGTTAGTACAAGAGATTTTGATCGTAACTTTATGTTTAAGCTTTGGAGGCCTTCTAAAGCTTTACTTGTATGTGTTACAAGTTCTGAAGATTATGAAGACGAGGTTCTGTTAAACAAGTTTTGATGATCTGAAGAAAGTCAAGTTCTTACAACCAAGTGCTGAAGACTCTGAAGACAAGGTTTTGATAGGACAAGTTCTGAAGACTCCAAGACTTAGGTTCTAATACTTAAAGAGTGAATCTTCTATAACAAGCTTCAATGTTCAAACATTCAAATATCAGAAGCCTTTGATGATAAAAAGAAGTTCAAAATGGTTACCATGTGATGTTGTATAAAAGGTACATAAAGTGTTTGTGACCTCTACCCTCTAGGTTGGCGTAAGGATAGTCCTTTATATTGTATTGTTAACCACTCTCATTGTGTCCATTAAGAACAAACGACTGGATTTACAACTATCTTTCTTTACTCAATGGATCTTTGTTTGCAAGTTTAATAGAAAAATATTATTCGGAGAAAAGTTGGAAAGCAATCATTGAAAATTGACAGGATACAAAAAATATTATTTTGTACTGTCTAAACTCTTACACCTTATTCTATCTGTTGAGAACTAACCGTTAGTGCAGGTAAAGACTTTTCTATCCTCACAATGTCTCTCTCTATCAAGGCTACAAAATAAGATCAAAGATTCAAAGAAAAGTTGCATTTGGCCAAATAGAGTTTCATCCTGTGAAATGAAAGCAATGGATGTTGAAGATGTCAAAGCTGTAATGATACATATTCTGAAGACCACAAAAGAAGAGATAAAAGAAATAAAGAATATTTCAAAAAGATGTAATTCAACTATCATCATATACATCTTGGATGAAACAAAAGAAGTAAGGAGTTGTTGTCGTAGCTTGCTCAATTAAGAAGAAAATTCTACAAGATGCTAACCAACTATCATCATATACATCTTGGTAGATCTCAAAAGAAGCAAGGATTTTTTGCTCAGAACTTTCTCAAGAAGATGAAGAAGAAGAAAACTATAAGATTATATGCAATCTTTTGATCATACTTATCTTTTTATAACATTTTAATGAACACAAGATTTGTTACTCGTATTGTGTTTCTATTTGAATATCTTCATGTTAATTGTTTTAACACTTTAGTTGTTACTCGGAAAAGTGTTAAACAA